CGCTTCCAAAAAGGCAGGGGGCGGCGGTGATTCGCCGTAGGCGTCTTCGATCCGCCGCCCCCTTTTGATGTATCAAAAGAGTGCCCGGCGTGCCAAACCCTATCGGTTTTGGTTTTGGTTCGGCCCGTCCCGCCGGGGTCCCGGGATTTTTTCCACGGACCTCACTTCCCCAATGTTCTGCCCAAGACGGCTCCAAGATGGCCTCCAAGATGGCCAAGATGGCCCAAGATGGCCTCCAAGATGGTCCAAGATGGCCTCCAAGTCCGCCCAAGATGGTCCAAGGCGGCCTCCAAGACGGCCCAAGAGAGTCCAAGAGGGCCCAAGACGGCCCAAGAGGCCCCCCAGAGCCCTCCCAGACGGCCCAAGAGGCCTCCAAGAGGTCCTCCAGGAAGGCCCGACGAGACCAAAATCATTGTTTTTCTTCAGGTGTTTGAAGGATTTGGGCATTTGCGCCGTTTCGGCTTTCCGACGGCCCAAGACGGCCCAAGAGGCCCCCAAGGTCGCCCCAAGATCGCCCAAGAGGCGATGGCCCCGTGACAAGAGGCCCCTCAAGGGCCCCAAGAGGGCCCGAAGACGGCCCAAGAGGCCTCCAAGACACCCAAGATGGCCTCTAAGACGACCCTGGAGCACCCCAAGAGGGCCCCAAGTCGGCCCAGAAAGACCCCCCAAACGGCTTCCGACGGCGTCAGACGGGCCAGGAGCCCACCAAGATGGCCGAAGGTGGCTCGCAGCTGGCCCAAGACGGCCCAAGAGGCCTCCAAGAGGGCCTCCAGGAAGGCCAAAAAAGGCCAAAAAGAGTGATTGTCTGTAGGTTGTTGAAGGATTTTGACATTTGCTTCGTTTCGGCCTTCCGACGGCCCGATACGGCCCAAGAGCCCCCAAAATTCGCCCAAGGATCGCCCAAGAAACCTCCAAGATGGCCCCAGAACGGCCCAAGAGGCGCCCACCAAGAAGGCCCGAAAGAGTCAAAATGGCCTCCAGGCGGCCAAGATGACCTTCAAGATGCCCACGTGTTCCCCGAAGGCTTTCCAAACCGATTCGGGGAACACATGGTCCGATAGCTTGGCAGGTCTGGCCTCAACGTTCGGCCACATAGGCGCTTCCTCTAAGGCAGGAGGCGGCGGTGATTCGCCGTAGGCGTCTTTGATCCGCCGACCCCTGTTGGCTTGCCACAGGGGTGCCTGGCGTTCTAGAGGCCACCAAGGCGGCCCAAGACGGCCCTGAAGAGGCCTCCAAGACGGCCCAAGAGGCCTCCAAGAAGGCCTCCAGGAAGGCCCGAAGAGGCCAACATCATTGACTTTCCTTCAATGTTTGAAAGATCTTGGTATGTGCTTCTTTTCGGCCTTCCGACGGCCCGAGACGGCCCAAGAGCCCCCAAAAGATCGCCTCAAGATCGCCCAAGAGGCCTCCAAAATGACCCCAGAACGGTCCAATGGGCCCCCAAGACGGCCCCAAGGAGCCCCAAGACGGCCCAAGAGAGCTCCAAGATGCTCACGATGGCCTCCGAGACGGCCCTGGAGCATGGCCCAAGAAGGCGCCAAGATGGCCCAAGACGGCCCAAGAGGCCCCGAAGAGGCCTCCAGGACGGCCCCATAGGCCTCCAAGAGGTCAACATCATTGATTGTCCTTCGATGTTTGAAGGATCTTGGCATTTGCTTCTTTTCGGCCTTCCGACGGCCCGCGACGGCGCAAGAGCCCCCAAAGATCGCCCCCGAGATATCCCAAGAGGCCTCCAGGATGGCCCTAGAACGGCCCAAGACGCCCCCAAGACGGCCCCGAGAGGGCCCCAACACGGCCCAAGGGGCCTCCAAGATGCCCTAGATGGCCTCCAAGACGGTCCTGGAACACCACAAGAGGGCCCCAAGTCGGCCCAGAGAGGCCCCACAGACGGTTCCCGACGGCGTCAGACGGGCCAGGAGCCCGACAAGCCGGCCCAAAAAGGCTCCAAGATGGCCCAAGACGGCCCACGAGGCCCCGAAAAGGCGGACAAGACGGCCCCATGGGCCTCCAAGAGAACGTTCAGGAAGGCCCGAAGAGGCCAACATCACTGATTGTCCTTCGATGTTTGAAGGATCTTGGTATGTGCTTCTTTTCGGCCTTCCGACGGCCCGAGACGGCCCAAAAGCCCACAAAGATCGCCCCGAGATCGCCCAAGAACGGCCCAAGACGCCCCCAAGACAGCCTCAAGAGGGTCCCAAGGCGGCCCACGAGGCCTCCAAGATGCCAACGATGGCCTCCATGACGGCCCTGGAGCACCCCCAAAAGGGCCCCAAGTCGGCCCAGAGAGGCCCCCAAGACAGCTTCAGACGGCGTCAGACTGGCCAGGAACGCCCTAAGATTGCCAAAGAGGTCCCCGAGATGCCCCAAAACGGCCCCCTCAGAGGCCCAATGAGGCCTCCAAGATGCCTCCAAGATGCTCCCAGGAAGCTCCCAGGAGGCCCCCACAGTGCCCCCAGAGGCTCCCAAGATGCCCCCTCCTCCTGCTCCTCCTCCTCCTCCTCCTCCTCCTCCTCCTCCTCCTCCTCCTCCTCCTCTTCCTGCTCCTCCTCCTCCTCCTTCCTCTCCTCCTCCTCCTCCTCGTCCTCCTCGTCCTCGTCCTCCTCCTCCTCCTTCTCCTCCTCCTCCTCCTCCTCCACCTCCTTCTCCTTCTCCTCCTAGTCCATCAAGTCACGGCGGCCCGGGTGGCCCCCGCAACGCCGCTCGGCCGTCGTCCCGGGGGGTAATCTGGGGAGGCACGCCGCCCCTGCCGCTCGAGGTCCAGGTGCTCAACGTCGGGTTGAATTTGTTAGCCTCTCTTCAGGTACTTGCCGCTGCAGCTCATGTTCCTCGTGGCTTCCTCGTGGTACGAGGCAGGACTTCTTGGTGGACGGGCTGCTGGGCGTGCTGGTGGTCAATGTGGGCATGGGGTCCGCTACGGTTGAGGCAGCTTGTATTTGTTTGCGGGCCCCGGCGCTTTCCACTGCTTGTCATTGTGCAGTCGATTTCTGGTGGGATGGGGCTCAGGCATTTTTGATGTTGGGCTCGAGGGATGAGCCGATTGGCTAGCATTCCCCTCGCCCTCGGGCCTGGCGTGCCCTCAGTACGTGTTGTTGCAGTGTTCGGCAGCGTATTTCACGTGGTGGGTTTTATATTGTTCTTCTCTGGTTGGTGGTTGAAAGTAGCGTGCAGCTCGCCACATATGTTGTGAGTATTGCTGGAGGTGGCACAATGTATTACTTCACTGCGGGTCACTACTACTGCCAGGTTTCTTCATCATTGCCTTCTGTTGTGTTTGTCTTCTCATTGAGAACAGTTGTTCATCATGTCTTACCACGGTTTGTACTCGTGGGCCACATCGCGTGGGTGTGGCATGCCTTACGCGTCTTGGAGTACGCGGCCTCATGGTGATCGGTGTGGCGGTCATGGCAAGCAGGCTTTGGTGCAGCATTTCGGCATTGTGTGTTTTTCGTTGTGTGTTATGTTTTCAATGTCTTCTCTGGCTGGTGGTTGAAAGAAGCATGCAGCTCCCCACTGTCCTGGGGATATTGCTGGAGGGGCGTTGTTATTTCGTCACTGCGGGTTGCATCGTGTCGGTGTGTTTGCTCGTTGTCTTCTACGCCATCATCTTCTACCCGTCCATGGAGGTGTAGGGTGTTAGGTCGGCCCTGTATCTGGGCTGACCGCGTAGGGCTGTGCATGCACACAGGCTTCCCATGTCATCGAATCGAATCCTCCTCCTCCTCCTCCTGCTGATCTTCCCCGCAATTCTCCCCCCAAGTGTTCCTCGAAATTTTTACACAACGGTTTGGGGAACACATGGTCCGATAGATTGGCAGAGCTCTTGCCACAACGCCCGGCCACATGGGCGATTCCAAAAGGCAGGGGGCGGCGGTGATTCGCCGTAGGCGCCTTCGATCCGCCGCCCCCTGTTGGCTTGCCACAGGGGTGCCTGGCGTGCCAAACCCTATACGGTTTTTTTTTTGTTCAGTTCATTGCGCCGGCCATCTGGAAAGCCGCTGAAAAAGTGTCCATCGGTCTTCTCCTCCAAGATGGCCCCAAGATGGCCTCCAAGACGGCCAAGACGGCCCAAAATGGCCTCCAAGTTCGCCCGATATGGTCCAAGATGGCCTCCAAGACGGCCCAAGAGGATCCCAGATGCATCCAAAGTCGCTCAAGAAGCCACCCAGACGGCCCAAGATGGCTCCAAGAGGCCCCCAAGAGGCCTCCAAGACGGCCCAAGTGGCCTCCAAGAGGTCCTCCAAGAGGGCCCGCAGAGGCCAACATCACTGATTTTCCGTGAAGGATTTCGGCATTTACTTCTTTTCTGCCTTCCAACTCCCCAATACTTCCCAAGAGGCCCCCAAGATCGCCCCGAGGTGGCCCCAGAGGCCTCCGAGATGGCCCCTGGACGGCCCAAGAGGCGCCCAAGACGGCCCCAAGAGGGACCCAAGACGGCCCAAGAGGCCTCCAATACGCCCAAGATGACCTCCAAGACGGCCCTGAAGCGCCACAACAGGGTCCCAAGTCGATTCAGAGAGGCATCCAAGAAGGCTTCCGACGGCATCAGACCGGCCAGGAACGCCCGAACACGGCCAAAGCGGCCCCGAACAAGCCTCCAAAGGCTCCCAAGAGGCCCAAGGAGGCCCCCAGGAGGCCTCCAAGAGGCCATCAGAAAGCTCCCAGGAGACCCCAAGAGTGCCCCAAGAGGCTTCCAAGAGGCGTCCTCCTCTCCTCTCCTTCTCCTCGTCTTCCTCTTCATCCTCCTGTTCCCTTTTCTTTCTCCTCATTCTCCTCTTCCTCACGTGTTCCCAGAAAGGTTTCAACGACAGCTGGGGGAAAACTCCGATAGCTCTAGCCCAACTTTCGGCCACGAAGGCGCTTCCACAAAGGCAGGGGGCGGCGGTGATTCGCAGTAGGCGTCTTCGCTGAAAAAAATACATGCCTTCCAATCAGATGAGGATGGTCGGTGCCACCAACTTAAGGGCAGCCTTGTCGAGCTCCGCAGCCTGCAAACGACGATCTGGCATGCACAATCTCCACCCGCTCCTGTGCTTCCGCCTGTCGGACGACCATACGATACTGGAGGAAGGCGTGACCCCAGAGGGACCCGAAGTTCCAGAGTAGTACGCGCCGTTGACAATGAGGTAGTCTGAGTTGGACTCTGTGTTGAAGGCTTCCACGACGATCGGAGCTGCGTTCGCCTCGTCAATGCCGATCGTGCACATCTCGTTTCCACCGTAATTGCTCGGATGGTTCGGGCTCTGCACGCATGTGCCGTCCAGAGTGCACGGGCCCGAGATGGTCGCCCACATGTGCTGGGAAGCGGGCGTCGGTGCAGCGGTCGGCGGGGGAGCTGGCGCAGGAGTCGGCACCACTGGCGGTGCAGGCGTCGATGGAACTGTCGGGGCAGGCGTGGGTGCTGCAGTCGGAGGAGGTGGAGAAGTTGACACTGGCATGCACAATCTCCACCCGCTCCTGTGCTTCCGCCGGTCGGACGACCATACGATACTGGAGGAAGGCGTGACCCCAGAGGGACCCGAAGTTCCAGAGTAGTACGCGCCGTTGACAATGAGGTAGTCTGAGTTGGACTCTGTGTTGAAGGCTTCCACGACGATCGGAGCTGCGTTCGCCTCGTCAATGCCGATCGTGCACATCTCGTTTCCACCGTAATTGCTCGGATGGTTCGGGCTCTGCACGCATGTGCCGTCCAGAGTGCACGGGCCCGAGATAGTCATCCACATGTGCTGGGAAGTGGGCGTCGGTGCAGCGGTCGGCGGGGGAGCTGGCGCAGGAGTCGGCACCACCGGCGGTGCAGGCGTCGATGGACCTGCCGGCGCAGGCGTGGGTGCTGCAGTCGGAGGAGGTGGAGAAGTTGACACTGGCATGCACAATCTCCACCCGCTCCTGTGCTTCCGCCGGTCGGACGACCATACGATACTGGAGGAAGGCGTGACCCCAGAGGGACCCGAAGTTCCAGAGTAGTACGCTCCGTTGACAATGAGGTAGTCTGAGTTGGACTCTGTGTTGAAGGCTTCCACGACGATCGGAGCTGCGTTCGCCTCGTCGATCCCGATCGTGCACATCTCGTTTCCACCATAATTGCTAGGATGGTTCGGGCTCTGCACACATGTGCCGTCCAAAGTGCACGGGCCCGAGATGGTTGCCCACATGTGTTGGGGCGTTGGTGCAGCGGTCGGCGGAGGAACCGGCGCAGATGTCGGCGCGAAAGTCGGCGCTGCTGTCGGCGCTGGTGTCGGTGCACCAGTCGGTGCATCGGTCGGTGCAGCTGTTGGTGATGAGGTCGGCGCAGCAGTGGGTGCAGCTGTCGGTGCTGGCGGGGGGGCGGTCGGTGCCTTCGTTGGCGCAGCTGTGGGCATTGCCGTTGGAGAATCAGTCGGTGCAGCTGTTGGAGACGAGGTCGGCGCAGCAGTGGGTGCAGCTGTCGGTGCTGGCGGTGGAGCCGTCGGTGCCCCCGTCGGTGCAGCTGTGGGAGTTGCGGTTGGAGAATTGGTCGGTGCTGCTGTTGGGGATGCGGTCGGCGCAGCAGTGGGTGCAACTGTCGGTGCTGGCGGGGAAGCTGTCGGTGCCCCCGTCGGTGCAGCTGTGGGAGCTGCGGTTGGAGAATCAGTCGGTGCTGCTGTTGGAGACGCTGTCGGCGCAGCAGTGGGTGCAGCTGTCGGTGCTGCTGTCGGTGCAACTGTCGGGGAAGCGGTCGGTGCCTCCGTCGGCGCAGCTGTGGGCACTGCCGTTGGAGAATCAGTGGGCGCTGCTGTTGGGGATGAGGTCGGCGCAGCAGTGGGCGCAGCTGTCGGTGCTGCTGTCGGCGCAACTGTCGGGGAAGCGGTCGGTGCCTCCGTCGGTGCAGTTGGCGCAGCTGTGGGTGCTGCAGTCGGCGAGGGCGACGGTGCAGCTGTTGGGGGCGCGATTGTCGGCGCAGCTGTCGGTGCAGGAGCTGGCGTCGGGGAGGCTGGTCCGCAATTGTCGATGCTGCTGGTGCAAATCTCACCGTTTGTGCACAAAGCGCTGCCGCAATCGCACGGGTAGCTCGCGCTCGACCCTGACCCGTCGAAGACGGAGCACGGATTCGCTGGGAGGGCCATGATCACCAGGTTATTAGTGGGCGTGGGGGTCGCGTCATTCGTGACGCAACCAGTGCAGTTCGTGCTCTTTAGGAGGTCCCACCGTTGCGCAGCGGTCATGGATCCCGCCGCTGGATACGCCTCGTACATTCTGGCCGCGAGCCCAGCGACGTGTGGACAAGCCATGGACGTGCCTGTGTTGTAATAGGTGTGGGTGTCGCTGGACGGGCCCGTCGAGAGGATGCTCGTGCCCGGGGCATACACATCGATGCAGGAGCCCCAGTTGCTGTACGAAGACCTGTCCCATGAGGACCCTGACGTCCCGCCAAAGGCTGCTACAGTGATCGCCGACGGGATCCAAGCTGGATTCCAGCTGCACGCGTCTTGGTTAGAGTTCCCCGCAGCCACCACCACGGCCACGCCATCGGCTACCAAATTGTCGATCGAGGTCTGCTCCGCCAGGTCATTGTAATTGGCCTGGATACTGATGCTGACCACCGCTGGCCTGTTCCCAGACGACAAAATCCATTGCTCGGCCAGGATGGACCACGTGGTCCAGCCGGAGCCTGCATCATTCAGGACCTTCATTGCCCAGACGGTCGCGCCATTCGCGACGCCATAGGTCGAAGCCCCCACTGTGCCCGCACAGTGGCTGCCGTGCCCATGGACGTCTGCAGCGCACGTTGTGCTGAGGGGCGCGCACTCTGTGAGAGTGCCCGGGTACTCTCCCGAGGCGGCCACGTCCACTCCTGCGAAAGCGCGACCGCCGAACTCGTTGTGGGTTATGCGAATGCCCGTGTCCAGCACGTACACGTGCACTCCCGCGCCCCGCCCCCGAACCACGTTCGCGCCGACGTACTGGATGCCCCACGGGTAGGTCCGGGAGGCACGCCCCTCCACGTACACGTCTTCTGCATTGACGGTCTCCATGTCTGGGACCCTTTTCGAAAACTGGTCCTCTTGAACAAACTTCACGCGCCCCTTGTGCCTCGCCAATAGCGCATTGAGAGAATTTTTCGTCATGCTTCCCGCCACGAATGGCATCTCGCCTCTGCCCGGATGGCTGTGCTGCCCGTTGTTGAACTCCTGGCGAATGCCACCCAGCTCTTCATCTGTAGCGTCGTCCTCCATCACAAGCGCCCAATGGCGCTCCGCCCCTACGTCGACATCCGAAGTGGTGTAGATAGGCACGTCGGACGTGGGCCTCCGAGCATCTGACACTCCGAACAGCGCCACGACTGCGCAAGTGAGTGCTGCTGGGGCGGACGCCCATCCCGTCCGGCAGGTACTAGTAGCTCCCATGGTGCCTCCGTCGGCAGGCTTCCGGCGATCTGGATGCTGTGAGCTCTCGGCAAAACTCGCCCGAAGCAACACTTTTGAGACAGATTGGATCGACCTGACTCGCCTGAGCCGCAATGAAGACGGAGATCACTTCTGTGATCCTGCAGGCTCGGGCGAGCCCCAGCAGCCCCCTGCACCTGGGCGGCGTGCGGCGCTTCATCTGCCAACCCCCGTCCTGTCCCTTCAGGGTCGGGTGCGCCCCTCGCGACACACCACGCTAGAAGACTTCCCCCCCGCCCGCCTGGCGAAGCCTCCCGGGGGCCTCTTGGGGGCCGCTTGGGCGCCTCTTGGGGGCCTCTCGGCGGCCCTCTGGGGGGCCGCTTCGGGGCCTCCAGGAAGGCCCGAAAAGGCCAAAACCATCGATTTCCCATGAGCTTGTTTAAAGGATTGTGGCATTTGCCGTTTTTCGGCCTTCCGACGGCCCGAGACAGCCCAAGTGCCCCCAAAGATCGCCCCAAGATCGCCCACGAGGCCTCCAAGATGGCCCCATGACAGCCCAAGAGGCCTACAAGACGGCCCCAAGAGGGCCCCAAGACGGCCCAAGAGACCTCCAAGACGCCCAAGATGGCCTCCAAGACGGCCCAAGAGCCCTCCAAGACGTCCTCCAAGAAGGCCCGAAAGGGTCAAATTGGCCTCCAGACGGCCAAGATGACCTTCAAGATGCCCACGTGTTCCCCGAAGACTTTCCAAACCGATTCGGGGAACACATGATCCGATAGCTTGGCAGGTCTGGCCTCAACGTTCGGCCACATAGGCGCTTCCAAAAAGTCAGGGGGCGGCAGTGATTCGTCGTAGGCGTCTTCGATCCGCCGCCCCCTGTCGATTCATCGCAGGGGTGCCTGGCGTGCTAGACCCTCTCGGTTTTGGTTTTGGTTGTTTCCAAAAGAACTCCCCCTGGGGCTTCGGTCCGTCCCGCCGGTGGCCTCCATTGCACAAAGTAGTGCTTCAAAAACGGCCGTTTCGCGTAGGACATCCTCAAAAAATCGCGCTCTGGAGGATTCCACCCTAAGATGTCTTATGATACAAAATCAGCGTTTCGCTCGAGACATCCTCAGAAATCTGGGATCGGGACCTCGATGGCCTCGTCTTCGGATTTTCCTACAAAAAAACGGCAGTTTCGCAAGGGACAGAGCAACGGTCCCTCTTTTTGCGGAGATTGATTCTAGCGAAACTCTGGACTCGTCGTGGCCAGAGGCTTCGGGAGTCTAAAGGCATGCCTTAAAACTCCTTGTCCCCCAGGGTTGGGGGGGTGGGAGACCGACAAACAACTTGAGAATGAACGGCAGCAGGGAAGAGAAGCGACTGGACGGTTCCTGCTGTCTATGTGTTGACAAGGGAAGCCGAGAACATCACCAAGACGGCCCCTCTGCTCAACCCGTTCTAAAACCTCCAGAGCAACGGTCCCTCTTTTTGCGGAGACTGATTCTAGCGAAACTCTGGACTCGTCGCGGCCAGAGGCTTCGGGAGTCTAAAGACATGCCTCAAAACTCCGTTCCCCAAATCATCCCGAAAGAACCCAATGCGGATGCTCACTTGGGTGGGAAGAAAAAGGGTGGGTAAAGCCAGCTCTAGTTTCAACGATGCTGACCAGCAAAGTCGAGATCATGGCCTTCGCCATATCTCTGGGGCATTCAGAAGCGATGCGTGTGCGACGGAGGCCACCTGGCCCCCCGCCGCTCAGCTGCCAGTGGGGACGTTGGGTCTTCGAGCATATACAGCCCTTTGGTATACATCGCTGGGTGAGTCGAGTCAGATCTTCAAGGTTCACATTGCCACACAAAATCCGAGCAGCCTTCTTCGATTTAGCGCCGTACTCGCACTGGTCGAGCTCGACTAAAAAGACATGCTTACAACGGGAGAACTCGCACATTTCTGCAGCATGCCAGAGTCGGCTGGTCAGGGGATGCTCGAGAATGACAGGAATGCCTCGCCGTAGAAGAATCTGAACAGGGACAGAGTGACTTGAGCAAGACGATTGCCAAGGCGCACAGCTGCCGCATCGGCAGCAGTCAGAAAAGAATCGTTTCAACCCCAGGGCTCAGCGCGACTTCGCACAGGCCGAGATCTGTCATGCGCAAGTGAAAAAGTCCGGCACGGCGGGGCCAGCACTGCAGCCACCAGCCGCCCAACTCGGGCGTCTGACCCGATGGCTTGCAAGAGCTTTGGCGACAGCAAGTCCTGCCACTCTGCATCATAGATGACGCCCCAGCTTCGCGAGCGGAACCCCAAACTGTCGGCCGCGCGCGAGATTGCCCTGCAGCCTGCAAAAAGATCGGCCAGGTACTGTCCTTTCCCTAAGCGAGAACGAGAGAGCCGACCCCTTGATCGCGCCCCTCTGTAGCCGAGGTGCAACTGGGTCAGTTTCGCTCTAGACGCACGCTGAAGGGCTGCCCCGTCAAGATCTGGGTCAACTGCCTCTCCGCTTGCTCGCACACTGCACGCAGAGCTGGGGCCAACTTCGCGCAGCTGCTCCCCAGCCTGCTGCTGTGCTCGTAGCGGTGCATGGACTTGGCCTGGGTCCACTCGCCCCGCCTCTGAGCCGAAGTGAGATTGCGCCACCCTTTGGCCAGGTCGATGCTGGCCCCCGAGTGCCTCATCTGATACAGAGTGACGGGAGCGACTCCGAGATCCCCCGCCGCCTCTCCGAGCAAGGCCGACACCTCGGAGCAGTCGAAATTCCACAGCGGCTCCTTCGAAGCTGCCGAGCCCAGTCGTTTGAACACTGCATCCAAGCCCTGGAGGCACGGAGAGTCCAGCGGGCATCCCTCGTCGAAGTGGCCCCTCTTGCTGGGCTTTCTCCGCTCCCGAGGATGAGTCAGCAAGGCCCAGCGGCGGCTGGCACCCGTCGTCGGGGGGGCGAGGTCGCACCCCCGGGCGGTCAGCAAGGTCGAGGGCCGCGAATAAGTCGAGACGCCCACCATGAGGAAGAGCGCAAGCCGAAGATGCCCTCGACGCACCAGCTTCCAAGCGAGACCGCACCAGACCGGGAGGACCAAGGCCTTCCGCCGCCGCCCAGGGGTCAGCCTGCGCCAGGCATTGAGAGACCGCCAGGCGCGGGGTAGCTCGCGACCCCCGATTCGCCCGAAGTCGGGGTTCGCGCTGACCCCAGCCGCCATGGTCTAATCCCCGTAGCTGCTCTGTTCGCCCTGCGAATAATAGTCGGTCAAGTAGTTGCAAAACAGCTCGTCGATCTCTGCGTCGGCCTTCGCGAGGATGTCCTCCCGCTTCAGGCCGACACGCGAGTAGAAGAGATCGAGGTAACGCTGGTGCCTCACCTGCGTCGGCCGCGCCACGGCCAAGGTCTCCAGGAGGCTCACCCCGGCTTCCTGAGCAGCAAGGATCGCGTCGGCGCACAGCTTCGCTCGCCTCTGCGCCCTCCGAGCGCGCAGCTGCCGCATCCGCACGCGGCCGCGCCCCGAGTGCTCGATCACCGAGTCGGAGCCGCTGGAGCTGCTGTCGCCCTCGGCGGCCTCCCCTCCGTCTCCAGCGAGGTCCTGGCCGTTGGCGCCCCTGTCGTCCAGCGCCGAGAAGTGCCGCTCCGCCCGTGCAGCCCTCGCTGGCACGGCGGAGGGGGCCGGCACCAGCGCGCGTCGGCGCCCTGCCGCAGGCGGGGCGGCCGGCGTCTGGGCGCCCCTCGGCCCAGCCCGCGCACGGGGCTCGCCACGCGTCTGGCCGTCAGTGCTCGCGAGCCCACCGCTGTCCGAGGGAGCCTCGCCTGCAGGCAGCGGCGGCTCCCGGACTACAAGCGCGCTGAGCCCCCGCAGCCGCTTCGGGCCCATGCCCAGAGCCCTCTACATTGATCGGAAGCTCGGCGATGGCGGCCAGAATCGAAGGTTTTGAGCCAAAACGCTCACCAACAGACACGTCTGGTTTGGGGACGGCTCTTGGAGGACGGGTTTGCAGATTCAAACTGGCCTCAAACTTATCATCGAGAAGAGATGTTACTATACTACTGTCGCTCTCTGAAAAAAAACCCGCTGCCTTCGTCACCCCCATTAAACTCCGAAGGGATCCATCGAAAGGCGGGTGAGAGACCCAACGATATGGCATAGGCATAGAATCGACAAATCTGAACCAAAAGACTGAAGCATGAGGATCGGGCCCTCGAAAAAGAAAGCACCACAGACACATTATCTAAAAGGAAAACCTGACGCACACTGACTCCAAGAGAGGTCTTGGCCAATCTCTGGACTGTTTTAACAAGGGCCCTGGCCTCCAGGATCAAAATGCCTTCGGGAAAACGCCAGATCCCTGAACGGACCGCCCCCCAGGCCAATTTTCGGAGCCACTCCCAGGGGACTTCGGCAAAATCAGGATCAACATCCCAGGCGGACAAAGCATCGGGCTCCGAGGAATCCTCATGTATCACACTCTCGATGCTGCGGATCATCCCCGAGCTATCCTGGGCCAGGCTGGCGGCTGCGAGCGCGCTCTCTCGCGCAGGCCTTCCCTGCGCGGAGCGGAAGCGGGCCCGCTCGGGCAGCCCCCCGACCTCCTCCACCGCGCGGGGCGGCCAGAACGACTGCGCCATGCCCCAGCCGCTCTCGCCGGCGTCGGTCTGGAGCACGCAGCTGTTCCACGGGCGCCACCAGTCCTGCACCATCAGCACGAGCAGGCCGCGGAACATCTTCACCTCCTTCACGACCTCGGACCACAGGCGAGCGGGCTCGAGGTAGTGCCGCTGGATGAAGCGGTAGGAGGCGCGCCAGCAGCTCAACGAGCCCCGCAGAGCCAGCCCACAGAAGGCGCAGTGGCCGAGCACCACCTCCAGGGCTCGCCCCGTCGCGCGGCCGCGCGCCAGCAGGCCCCCCAGCCCCATGCACACCTTCCAGAAGCGGCCGTCGCTCACGCCCGATCTCATCAGCTCGAGGTCCAGCTTGGTCCCCAGAGCCTCGCACGCGCCCGAGGTCACGGAGCTCTTGCGCAGGTCGAGGCCGACCCCCTCAAAAAGCCCCGCCCACTGATCGAGGACTTCCTGTGCGATGGTCCAGACGGGGTGATGACGCCCAGGATGTCGACGTACACGTAGGCCCCTCCAACACGGCCAGGCTCGACGTCCATGACCAGCGGGGGCCCTCGGTCGCTCATGAGCAGCCTCTCGGAGATCGTCATATCTCCTCCCGGCCAAGGGCTCGAGCTGACCACTCTCTCCTCGCTGGCATCCTGCGCCAGGAAGAGCGACCACGAGAAGCCCATGGGGGGCGCGCCGATGCACGGAAAGACCAGGGTGTCCGGCCCCAGCCGAGCCCCCTCGAGCTCCTGGCCGGCAAGCCCCAGGGCGTGGGCGGGCGCGGCCGGCAGCGAAAAGAACTTCGCCAGGCTCAGGGGGATCCGCACGCGGTAGAAGCAATCCTTAACGTCCGTCATCCCCAGAAAGAGCCTGAACTTGCCCAGCAGCTCCTCCGCGCGGGCGGAGCCGATGGCCACGCCCTCGGGGAGCCGCACCTCCACGCGCCCGAAGCCCTCGCAGGAGAGGAGCTGCACGCTGGGCGGCACGTTGAACCAGGCGTTGGCACGTCGGGCGTCCGCTACCATGCGCATATTGCGCCCGTCAGACTTTTTCACGAAGAAGAAGCCAGCCTGCTCAGAAGGCGTCAAAGTTGCCAGCAAGAGACCTCGCGACGTGAGATCATTCAAAAAACTGTGGCACTTCTTCTTGTTCCGCTTCAGCAGCGGGTCGAAAAACGGAGTCGGCGAGTTGTCAAAACCGATCTCGTGGATCGGCCGCCTCATGCGCTTGTGAATCTCCTCCAAGTAAGTGCGACCAGCCTCGCCCACTACGTCTTCCACCCGGCGGCAGCCGACAATCGACGGGGGCAAGGACACGCGGTCACGGACGAAGGAGGCCAGGTTCCTCGGGGAGCCCGATGCGTCGTAGATCGAGCACCCCTTGAGCAACGCACTGAGCGCCGCCCCGCGGGACGGACAGGGGCTGGGAGCCGCGGCCCGACGCCGAAGAGCTCCGCTTGCCACCCACTACACAATCCCAGCATGCTTGCCCCAGATGGAGTCCAAGGGGCGCGGCGGGCCAGCGTCGGCCGGCTCCCAGCCAGCAAGCCAGTTGAGAGAGTCGATCGCGCCACTCGCCAATTCGTGCCCACGCCTCCGCCTGGCACCAGCAACCCGGGCGCGGCTGCCGCCCCAGCCGGCAGGCGGCACGGCCAGGCGAGGAAGAGGGAAGAGGTCCCTGTCCCCGCTCGCCACAGCCAAAGGCGCTCGCCGGGCCGAAGAAGAAGTCCAGCCAGCGGGGGCCCACTCCGCCGACTGCGTCGAGTCCGTCATGATTGCACGGGCGGCGCGAGGGCACGCGATCGGTTCTTGCTACCCCGGCCGCCCCCGCTGCCGCCCCGGCCGCCGCCTTTTCCTCCATCCTCGGCCGTCTCGCGCGGTGGAGCTCGAGATGATGAAGCGCTCGATGCGACCGCCTCGGCCTTCTTGTCACCCTGCAGCAGCTCATGCTCCTCCTTGGCGCGCCTCGACACGTGTGAGCGCAAGCCTGGCGCCGCGAGCTGGCCCACCTCCGTCAGAGGCGAGAGGTACTTCGCATTGGAGTAGGCCGCCGCGCCGCTGGTCTTGTGAGCATCGACCAACAGATTCAATCGAAGGGCCGCCACCTCCAAGCACGCCAAACCACCAAAGCAGAGCTGGTCGAATTCTCCAGCCTCCTCCAGGATGTCACAGGGCACCCTGAGCTCGTGGGCCACCCTGTCCGTGGACGATATCCCCTTCCCCCTCAGGAAACGTTCCAGCCAGGCTCGAGGAGAGCCGTTCAAGTTCATCATGATCTTGCACGTGTGGAGGCACGTCCGATCCGAGGGCAGGCGACGGTGGTCCCACTCTACGTTCGAGCTCTCGGCCACGGCGCGGCGGAAGTCCTTACTCCGCTCACCCTGCTCGCCCCAGTCGACCCAGAGCGTTCTGACGTCATTGTTGGGCTCCTCGGGCGCGGCCTCCCCCCGAGCATCAGACTCATCAGCGAGACCCAGCTTGGCAGCTAGGTGATCGGGACCAGGGTGGTCCGCTGGCGCCCGGGGCGGAGGGGTCTCGGCGCCGCCGACCACGGACCCCGCGGGCCCCGGCAAGGGGGCGGCTCCAAGCAGCCCTCGCAGCTCCACCAGGCGACCAGCAGCCCACTCGACGATGCCGTCCGCGTCCACCTGCTCCAGCCGAGCCCAGCGGCCGCCTCAAGAGAGCCGGGCCAAAGCCTGGCTGCCGGCGCGCACCACGCCCTCGGGCAAGGGGTCCACCACCGTGCCAACGGGCACCCCTGGCAGCGGCTCCGCCAGCACCCAAGGCCGCGCTCCCATCAACCATGGGAAATACTCTCGGCCAGGTCGCTCAACACCGTCGGGAAGCATCACACGCTCCGCGCCCTCGAACTCCCGCTGGCCACGGCCAAGCATGGTCTCGCGGCACTCCGCCGCGCGCTCCAGGATCTCGTCCAGGCTCGGGAGCTGGCGGGACCTGTACAAGCGGCGACCGTCTGGAGGGTCCCCCGCCATCTGGTCCAGGATGGATCCTCCCGAAGGCCCCGTCGCGGGACTCTTCCCGCTCAGGTCCTCCTCCCACACGTCACCGTCGGCGGACTGCACCCAAAACGTCGACTTCCCCCGCAGCCGCCCCCGTGCGTCTCGGCGACGGCTTGGCCAGAGCACGATCCTGGCGTGGTCCATGGCATCCCCATCGTACGATACGCGGATCAGCGATCCGACAGGCAGCTCAACGCACCACTCCTCCGCCACGGCGAGCGGGGGCAGGTGACGTCGAGCGATCATATTCTTCCGTACGGCTGCGGCGCTGGCAGTGATGCACCAGTCGGCGTAGGTCTCCCAGGAGCGCGACCGTCACGCCAGGAGCAGCCGCTGCAACCCAGCCCCAGGGGTCCACCTCGGGCTCAGGCTTCGAACTTTCCACCACAGGACACACCGACTGCACCACGGGACACGGCGCTGCCTCCAGCTCTGGGCACGGTGGGCAGCTGTCGGGGTCGGGCGGCAGCCACGCTGGCGGGCACACGGCCTGCAGCGCGCAAGGACGCAGCCCCGGCTCGAATGGCGGATGCGGGCCCCCTGAGAGCAGCGCGATCAGGTTGGCCAGCCCCAGGGCCACCAACGTGAGGTGGCCAGGGGGCGCAGTCATCTGAGACCGACAAACAACTTGAGAATGAACGGCAGCAGGGAAGAGAAGCGACTGGACGGTTCCTGCTGTCTCTGTGTGGACAAGGAAAGCCGAAAACATCACCAAGACGGCCACTCTGCTCAACCCGTTCTAAAACCTCCATCCTTAAAGTCCGCCGCCCCCTGTCGATTCATCGCAGGGGTGCCTGGCGTGCCGAATTATTACGGTTTTGGTGTTGGTTCTTTGTCCAAAAGAACTCCCCTTGGGGCTTCGGCCCGTCCCGCCGGCTGCCTGCCTCCTCGGTTTTTTCGCTCAAGATGGCCCAAGATGGCCTCCAAAATGCCTCCCCAACGGCCAATATTGCCTCCAAGACGGCAAAGATGACCTCAAGACGCCTCCAAGACGGCCCAGGATGCACTCAAGACGGTCTAAGATAGCCTCAAGATGGCCCAAGACAGCCTAAGAGGCCCCCAGGAGGCCTCGAAGAGGTCCCCCAGGAGGGCCCGAAGAGGCCAAAATCATTGATCATCCTTAGGTTGTTTGAAGGATTTTGGCATTTGCTTCTTCTCGGCATTCCGACGGCTCAAGACGGCCCAAGAGGCCACCAAGATCGCCCCAAGATCGCCCACGAGGCCTCCAAGATGGCCCCATGACGGCCCAAGAGGCCTACAAGACGGCCCCAAAAGGGCCCTCAGACGGCCCAAGAGACCTCCAAGACGCCCAAGATGGCCTCCACGAGGGCTCCGAAGCGCCCCAAGAGGACCCCAAGTCGGTTCAGAGAGGCCCCCAAGACGGACCCGACGGCGTCAGACGGGCCAGGAACCCACCAAGATGGCCGAAGTTGGCTCGAAGCTGGCCCAAGACTGCCCAAGAGGCCTCCAAGAGGGCCTCCAGAAGGGCCGAAAAGGTCAAAAACACTACTGTTCCTTAGGTTGTTGAAGGTTCTTTTCGGCCTTCCGACGGACCGAGACGACCCAAGAGCCCCCAAAAATCGCCCAAAGATCGCCCAAGAGGCCTCCAAGATGGCCCAAGACGGGCCCAAGAGGCCCCCGAGACGGCCCAAGAGCCCTCCAGATGGCCCAGGAGGCTTTTAAGACGCCCAAGATGGCCTCCAAGACGACCCTGAAGCACCCCAAGAGGGGCCCCGAGGCGACCCAGAGAGGCCCCCCAAACGGCTTCCGACGGCGTCAGGCGGGCCAGGAGCCCACCATGACGGCCGAAGATGGCCCTAAGATGGCCCAAGACAGCCCAAGAGGCCGACAAGAGGGCCGTCAGGAAGACCCGAAAAGGAAAAAACAAACAAACAAACAAACAAAACATGATGTTCCAAGATGGCCCCAAGGGGCCTCCAAGACGGCCCAAGAGACCTCCAAGACGCTCAAGATGGCCTCCAAGACGGCCCAAGAGCCCTCCAAGACGTCCTCCAAGAAGGCCCGAAAAGGGTCAAAATGGCCTCCAGGCGGCCAAGAGGACCTTCAAGATGCCCACGTGTTCCCCAAAGGTTTTCCAAACCGATTCGGGGAACACATGGTCCGATAGCTTGGCAGGTCTGGCCTCAACGTTCGGCCACACAGGCGCTTCCAAAAATGCAGGGGGCGACGATGATTCGCCGTAGGCGTCTTCGATCCGCCGCTCCCTGTTGGCTTGCCACAGGGGCGCCCGGCGTGCTGGATCCTTTCGCTTTTCGCTTTGGTCTTTTTCCAAAAGAACTCCCCCTGGGGCTTCGGCCCGTCCCGCCGGCCACCCGAAAGGCCGCACAATTCCCCAATTGTTCGCTCAAGATGGCCCAAGATGGCCTCCAAGATGGCCACGTTGGCCCAAGATGGCCTCCAAGATGGTCCAAGATGGCCTCCAAGTCCGCCCAAGATGGTCCAACACCTCCCAGACGGCCCAAGAGAGTCCAAGACGGCCCAAGACGGCCCAAGAGGCCCCCCAGGGGCTTCCAAGACGGCCCAAGAGGCCTCCAAGAGGTCCTCCAGGAGGGCCCGAAGAGGCCAAAATCATCGATTGTCCGTAGGTTTTTGAAGGATTTTCGCATTCGCTTCTTCTCGGCTTTCCGACGACCCAAGACGGCCCAAGAGGCCCCCAAGATCGCCCCCACAGCGCCCAAGAGGCCTCCAAGATGGCCCCAGGACTGCCCAAAAGGCCCCCAAGACGGCCCCAAGAGGGCACAAAGACGACCCCAGAGGCCTCCAAGACGCCCAAGATGGCCTCCAAGACGGCCCCGAAGCGCACCAAGAGGGCCCCGAGTCGGCCCAGAGAGGCCCCCCAGACGGCTTCCGACGGCGTCAGACGGGCCAGGAACCCATCAAGATGGCCGAAGTTGGCTCGAAGCTGGCCCAAGAGACGGCCCAAGAGGGCCCCCAGGAAGGCCAGAAAAGGCCAAAAACACTGATTGTCCGCAGGCTTTTGAAGGATTTTGACAGTTGCTTCGTTTCGGCCTTCCGACGGCTTCCAAAAATCGCCCAAAGATCGCCCAAGAGGCCTACAAGATGGCCCCAGAACGGCCCAAGAGGCCCCCAAGGCGGCCCCAAGAGGCCCCCAAGACGGCCCAGGAGGCTTATAAGACGCCCAAGATGGCCTCCAAGAGGGCTCTGGAGCATTCCAAGAGGGCCCCAAGTCGGCCCAGCGAGGCCCCCAAAACGGCTTCCGACGGCGTCGGACGGGCCAGGGGCCCACCAAGACGGCCGAAGATGGCACTAAGGTGGCCCAAGACAGCCCAAGAGGCCGCCAAGAGGGCCGCCAGGAAGGCCCGAAAATGCCAAAATCACTGATTTCAAAGTTGTCTTTGAAAGATTGTGGCATGTGCTCTTCTTCGGCCTTCCGACGGCCCAAGACGGCCCAAGTGCCCCCAAAGATCCGCCCAAGAGGCCCAAGACGGCCCCAAGAGGTCCCCAAGACGGCCGCAGAGGCCTCCAAGACGCTCAAGATGGCCTCCAAGACGGCCCAAGAGCCCTCCAAGACGTTCTCCAAGAAGGCCCGAAAAGGGTCAAAATGGCCTCCAGGCGGCCAAGAGGACCTTCAAGATGCCCACGTGTTCCCCGAAGGCTTTCCAAACCGATTCGGGGAACACATGGTCCGATAGCTTGGCAGGTCTGGCCCCAACGTTCGGCCACACACGCGCTTCCAAAAAGGCAGGGGGCGGCGGTGATTCGCCGTAGGCGTCTTCGATCCGCCGCCCCCTGTCGATTCATCGCAGGGGTGTCCGGCGTGCTGGATCCTTTCGCTTTTCGCTTTGGTCTTTTTCCCCCCCCAAAAAAAACGCCCCCTGGGGTTTCCTTCGGCCCGTCCCGCCGGGGTGGCGGGAGGATTGCTCAGGATCTCAATCCCGGAAAAAATGTTCCAAGATGGCCCAAGATGACTTCCAACATGGCCAGGTTGGCCCAAGATGGCCTCCAAGATGGTCCAAGACGGCCTCCAAGTCCGCCCAAGATGGTCCAAGACGGCCCCCAAGATGGCCCAAGAGAGTCCAAGATACCTCCACGTTCGCCCAAGAGGCCTCCAAGACGACCCAAGAGGCCTCCAAGAGGTCCTCAAGGAGGGCTCGAAGAGGCCAAAATCATTGATTGTCCCAAGGGTTTTGAAGGATTTTGGCACTTGCTTCTTTTCGGCCTTCCGACGGCTCCAGACGGCCCAAGAGGCCCCCAAGATCGCCCCAAGATCATCCATGAGGCCAACGAGATGGCCCCATGACGCCCCAAGAGGCCCCCAAGACGGCCCCAAGAGGGCCCCAAGACGGGCCAAGAGGCCTCCAAAACGCCCATGATGGCCTCCAAGACGGCCCCGAAGCGCCCCAAGAGGGCCCCAAGCCGGTTCAGAGAGGCCCCAAAGACGGTTCCCGACGGCGTCACACGGGACAAGAACCCACCAAGATAGCCGAAGTTGACTCGAAGCGGGCCCAAGAAGGCTCAAGAGCAGGCCAGACAAAAACAAAAACAAAAAATGTCTAATATTTTGACATGTACTTCTTTTCGGCCTTCCGACGGCCTGGGACTGCCCAAATGCTCCCAAAGATCGCCCAAAGATCGCCCAACAGGCCTCCAACATGACCCCAGAACGGCCCAAGAGGCCCCCAAGACGGCCCCAAGGAGCCCCCAAAACAGCCCAGGAGGCCTTTTAAGACGCCCAAGATGGCCTCCAAGACGGCCCTGAAGCACCCCAAGAGGGCCACCAATCGGCCCAGAGAGGCCGCCCAAAACGGCTTCCAACGGCGTCAGACGCCAGGAGCCCACCAATATGGCCAAAGTTGGCTCGAAGCTGGCCCAAGACGGCCAAAGAGGCCTCCAAGAGGGACTCCAGGAAGGCCCGAAAAAGCCAAACTCATTGATTTAAAATTTGTTTGTGAAGGATTGTCACGTTTGTTTTTTGTCGGCCTTCCGATGGCCCGAGACGGCCCAAGTACCCCCAAAGATCGCCCAAGAGGCCCAAGACGGCCCCAAGAGGCCCCCAAGACGGCCGCACAGGCCTCCAAGACGCCCAAGATGGCCCCCAAGACGGCCCAAGAGCCCACCAAGACGTCCCCCAAACAGGCCCGAAAGGGTCAAAATGGCCTCCAGACGGTCAAGATGACCTTCAAGATGCCCACGTGTTCCCCGAAGGCTTTCCAAACCGG